ACATTATTTGAAGTAGTGCTAAAAGCTAGTACTTCAGGACTATCTGAGTTGTTGATGCCTGCATTTGGCAGTGAAATTCAAGGAGTACAAATTGGAAGAGGAGCAAAAGTAATTTTTGCTGCTCTGAATCAGACTAATGTACTCTGATAACATTTCATGGTCAGAAAATGTTACTGTTTGTAGATTCAGTGAACTTGGACCACAATAAAGGCTAGAAGGACTTTGGGGCAGCATGCTGCGGTGAACCACCCTATTTACTTTCTCAGTGTACTTCTGTGCAATTTAATGTACAATGTAGCTGCTTATCTATGATGTTTCTCAATTAAAAAAAGAAGTAGGGAATGACTGGAAACCATCATCTTTTCAATCTCATACAATAGAGTTGGTATGTAGTACATGGAGATTTATTGAATGTTGATAGTTATGGTAGCTAATAACAGGATAAAATTAACTCTGACTTGGAAAGCTTTAAATATGTTTCTAATGTGAAAAGAGCTGCTTCTCAGGCAGTGATTACCTTTAATATTTCCCATTTCGTTTTTACTTGGACAATTGGTCAAAGGCACAGATGAGCTACTTACAGGGAGCAGCTGAGGACACTTGGTGAACTTGGAGAAGGCAGAGGGGTGACCCCATTTCAGCCTGCACCTTCCTCAAGGGGGGCAGCAGAATGGGAGGTGGTGATCTCCTTTCTCTGGTGACCAGAGATGGGACATGGGGAAATGGAATCAAGCTGGAATCAATCAGATGAGGCATTAGGAAGAGGTTCTTCACTGAGAGGGTGATTGGTCACTGGAACAGGCTCCCCAGAGAAGTGGTCACAGCACCAACCCTGACAGGGTTCAGCGAGTCTCTGCATGATGCTCTTAGTCAGAGGGTTTAGTTGTAGGTAGTCTTGGGGGAGTCAATGAACCTCACTGGGCCCCTTCCAGCTTCAGCTATTCTATTCTAAGCTTGATTTTTCTGTGCTGCTCAGTCAGTCTGTGTACTGAGAAGGTTGTCAAATAATGTCAGGTGTTGTAAGGGTTTTATGTAGACATGGCTCACTCTCTGAGAAGACCAAATATATGCTTTTCCTTTTTAAATTAAAAACACTGCATCTTTCTACATTAGTGGTGGAACCTGGCAATATGGGATATGCTTTGTGACATGTGTTTATCTCACGTTCCTGACAGTATTGACTTATAGAAAATTGCAAGATGCTGCATTTTCCAGCTGTTTGATCACTCCCATTTTTCTTGGATGCTTCTCAGCTAACAGTACAAATCCCATGGGAAGCTTGGATGCAAGATTATGTTGCTCTAGATCAGTTATCCAGCAGAAACCCTTCTAAAACTAACCTATGGTAGAAAATGACCGCTTTGCCCACTCTGAGGATGTGCAATGCTCCAGTACACTCGTAACCTAAGGAGAATAAATTTTTCCCAGGTTCATCAGTGAATGACTAATACATGGAGAGTGGAAAAGAGCCTCTAGACATTGTGGAAAGATTCAGAGCACAAGTGGTATTCAGAGCACAATAGTTTATTGAATTCCCTTGTTGCCTGGAGCAGTGTTATCCTCCTCCCTGGAAAGAAGTTGCTGGGGAAAACTGAGGAACAATGAAATGTGAAATGTTTGTAGTTTTGTTCCAAGCTTCTTATATTTCATGCCATGCAAAGTTTCTGGTGTAATTCTTCCTCTGCTTTGGGATGTGTCAGGGGAAATACTTGATTTGAAAGCATCAGCACAAAGATTTACCAGTCTATACTAAAGCTGATCTGTTCATTACAGCAGGTTATTAATAGATAAATCATAGTTGCAAATGAAAAAATAATGTTTCCCTGAGGGATATTCCCTGACTAATTTTCCAGTGTCCCAAGTGGACACTTCTGTCTGCTTATCCTTTTTTGCCTTTCAGGCTCTGATTTTATTTTATCTGCTTAAAGAGTTCCTCCTCGTCTTTGAACCAATACTTTTTTACACTTCATTTTTCCCATTTAGGATCAGTCAGAACAGAGCTAATTTCATTTCCTTGTATCTCTCTGATGTATAAATGACAATTTGACATAATTTGCAGAAGTAATTCAACAGCTGATAATACGGAGTCTTGCATGAAGCTCCTCTTCAGGACCCTGAAGAGAAGCTTAGTAGTTCTCTTGAGGCTTCTGAAGTATTAATGAAAACATTTCTGAATTCTTTTAGTTTTCCATTCTTAATTTATAATAATTCTAATGAAGGTGAAGCTTTCTTGGGAATTAATGTTATAAAATCAATGCAATTGAAACTAGATGAAAGATCTAAACTCATTTTAAACAAACAAAAATACACAAAAAAGCCTGTTTTCTCCCCTCTTCAGGGCATTGTAAAAATATATTATTACTGTTAGAAGTACTTTCTAATAGCTGGAGAGTTGGAGATATTTTTGAAAGCAAGTAGTTTGATAGACTGAGTATCTCCAAGCAACTTAGAAAGCTTTAAATACAACTGGTTGGATACTGCCTGAGGAATACATTGTCGAGCCCAAAGCACCTGCCAAAACCAGGTGATGATTTCTTTCTTCAAAATACATCAGGTATTTTGTCAATATTTTGTCAGCATCAAAAGGAATTTGCATAAGACACATGACACAACATATAGAAAATTGAATCCCAAATGACATTCAGGTACTGCAGACTGAAATAGGAGGTGTGTGAGGTAAATTTTTAAGTTCATATCCCATGCTTCAGTTGAAACAGTGCTATTTTATCAAGAAGCAGAAGTAGACTTTTTGCTAGTTCTTGGAACTTGCCACTTGGTGTACACATTGGCCATGTGAACAAGAATATGGTCTTGCTGGTATTTTACATGGACAGCCATTGGAATACTCTACTTGGCACATAAAATCTTGGGGGTATTTGTTGATTGGAGGAGAAATCAAGACAAAGAATGGTAAAGTCAACAGAGAGAAGTTTTGGTGAACTGCAGCTGCTTTTTCATATCTCAATCAGCAGCTTAAGATGCTGTTTTCTTTCATTATGTCTATTTGTAGGTAACCTACAAAAACGCTAACAAATCTGCCCCATAAATCAATTACACTTCAACTCAAAAGAACTGGTAAGTGTCAACAATACAGAGTATCCACAATGTGGCTGTTGATATGGTCTGCAGTAAGAACAGTTTAACTTTGCTTGGAGGTGGGAAGCTAAACTCCGCACGCTGTCCGGCTGCAGAGAATAAATGGAGTTGTCTTGTCGAGCAGTGTTTGTATGCTGGTAGCTATGCTTTGATCTAGTGGTACTGCACAGTACAGCTGTGGGAGAAACAAAATAAAGGAGAAAAAGAATGTCTGTGAAGTCAGGGCTGGAAAGCTGGGACCAGGTTACATGATGATGTTTCATGAGTGTGCCCCACTCACTCAGCTGTGCTAGCAGAGATCCTTGCCTCCATAGAGCAGAGGGCTGAAGCACTAGATCTAGACAGGCTAAAGTAGTTGGAGTACTGGAAGGCTGCAGTGAGGTCTCCCTGGAGCCTTTTCTTATCCAGACTTGTTAAGCCTGGATAAGAAAAGGCTCCAGGGAGACCTCACTGCAGCCTTCCAGTACTTCAAGGGGGCTACAAGAGAGCTGGCTGGAAAGGGATATTTTACAAGGGCATGTAGTGATAGGACATGGGGAAACGGCTTTAAGCTGAAAGAGGGCAGGTTTAGATTAGATATTAGCAAGAAATTCTTTACTGTGAGGGTGGTGAGGTACTGGAACAGGTTCCCCACAGACATTGTGGATGTCCCATCCCTGGATATGTTCAACGCCAGGTTAAACAGGACTTTGAGCAACCTGGTCTAATGGAAGTTGTCCCTGCCCATGGCAGGGGGATTGGAACAAGACGAACTTTCAGGTCCCTTTCAACCCAAACTATTCTATGATTCTGTGATCTTTCTAAAAAGAGATTTTTAAAGGAGAGAGAAAATCCTTTGAGTTTTATGGTATCTTGATATGCATTAGAAGGGGCCCATGCTGTAAGAACAGATCACTTAATTTACTCTTGTGCTGTTGCTGTGTAAGATAGAATCATAGGGAAATTTGTGGAGAACTTGTGTATATCCTCTGATATTTCTTTCTGAGATTTGGATGGAATGCATTAATAAGGGAAAAATACTGTCGTGGCTAATCCTGTTTTTTTTTTTCCCTGAACTTCTGCTTCACTGCTATCCACCCACCCTATTTGAAACAAATGTGTAGAGCTTGAATATCTGAATCAGCAGGTTGCATTCTGTCTGTACTTCTGTGAAGTTATGTGCAGCAAGTCTTTTTTTTTCTGTTCTGCTTGTCCTATTTGTTTTGTTGTTATGTACATAGAGAATGTCTTGGGGGAGTGGGGGGGAAGGTAGATTTCTTCTGGATGTGGCTTTACACAGGCCTGTCTGTGCCATTGAAGTGGTCAATGAAAAGAAAAGCAAGCTGCTGTAATCCACTTACAAACAGATTAAAAATACATACTTATATTTATATTTTAATTGTATCTGTATTTACTTAGTGTAAATTTGTAATATGTAAATTTTTAATAGTGTAAAATTTTATCTTTAAAAAAGAATTCTGTACTATTTATTAAAATATGAACACTTTAGCCAGTTTCTGTATTTGAATACTCAGGAATATAGGAATCAACATAAGTATCTAAAAATATGGTTTAGATAGTTTTCTTAGGCATTACACCCCAGCTATCCCCTCCCAGCTTCTGGTAATGAATGGATTAGGGGATCTGAAATCCCCTAATCCATTCATTACCAGAAGCTGGGAGGGGATAGCTGGGGTGTAATATGTTTTCAGCCTTCTGATTCATGAAGCCACTAGCCCTTACAGACTTCCTAATTTGAGCAGCATCATGATCCAAATCAGTGATACCTGCAAACTCCAAACAATGATTTCCATTTGTAGTACTAGGTAGAATTCAAATCTGTTAAGATTAATGTTACTGGGGCCTGGGGTTAGTTTTTTGTTTGCCTGTTTTCCTTTTTTTATGCCTTCTGTCTCTACTCACAGGTAACATCATGGTGCTGTGGTCCACGTGCAGAACATCGCTGCTGAAATCGGTAACAAACCGCTTCATTAAGAATCTGGCCTGCTCGGGGATCTGTGCCAGCCTAGTCTGTGTGCCTTTTGACATTGCCCTTAGTGCCAGTCCACACTGCTGCTGGTGGATCTATACGATGCTTTTCTGCAGAATTGCCAAGTTTCTGCACAAAGTCTTCTGCTCGGTGACCATCCTTAGTTTTCCAGCCATTGCTCTTGACAGGTAATGGGGGAAATTTGCCATGATCCTGGATTTTTCTTTCTTCTTTCTCCCTTTGTCTTGGTAAATGTAATTTACTATATGTAATGCCCACCAATGTTGAAACTGCAACAGCATATCAGTTGAAAACTTGTGATCTGCCTCACAAAAAGCACAAACTCCTACTGCTTATATTGATAAGTGTGAAAAGTTAGGTCTGTCATGAAAATTCTGTGAGCTTAAAAGTCCACGGCAATACTCCAGCAGTAAGCAAACAATCAATGTCTGAAATTTGAAGTGCATGTCAGAGATGCACTTTATTTTTTTAAATGCACACAGAATGTTCAGTGTTCAGCAATGCTTTTGCTCAGGGCTTGCCAACCACAGCTTGTGCAAAGCAAAACATCATTGTACTTCCATTATATGTAATGTAATTGCATGTAATTTAATAACATGTGCACAAATTAAATGTTAATACATGTAATGTAATAACATGTAATTTGTGACCAACAGCTTTTTCCAAATATTCAGAAAAAATCTATTATAAAGCAACTTCTAAAACTATGAGTCTGGCCTTTGAATGTGATACATGCCTCCATAATGTCTTTTGAAATTTTGAGTGTGTGCAACATACTCTCTAGTTTACAAGTGAGTTAATGCTGAAATTTTCAAAATAATATTCATATGCATCAGCCAAAGTGATGTATTGAAAGAAATTTTCACCACCAAAAAAGTGATCTTGACATTTAAATAGTCTGGGTTTTTTTCTACAGACAGACCTGTAAAGGCAGACCTTTGGGGTTTTTTGGTGGGTGGTTTTTTTGTTTTTTTTTTTTTTTTTAGTTGGCAACCCAGTTAGGAATTTGGACCACCATTATGCTCAGGTGGCGGAGAGGCTTCTCATAAGCAGTATGGCCATAAAAATAATTATAATTTTTTTTTTTTTTGTTTGACAGATACTACTCTGTTTTATATCCTCTGGAAAGAAAAATATCTGATGCAAAATCCCGAGACCTGGTTATCTATATCTGGGCCCATGCAATAGTGGCCAGCATTCCAGTATTTGCTGTGACCAATGTGTCTGATATTTATGCCATGTCCACTTGCTCTGAATCTTGGAGCTACTCCCTTGGCCACTTGATATATGTCATCATCTATAATATCACCACTGTGATTGTGCCAGTGGCTGTGGTATTTCTCTTTATGATTCTCATTCGCAGAGCGCTGAGTGCCAGCCAGAAGAAAAAAGTCATCATAGCTGCATTAAGGACCCCTCAGAATACAGTTTCTATCCCATATGCCTCCCAGAGAGAAGCTGAGCTCCACCTCATGCTGCTTTCCATGGTTATGATATTTATCCTCTGCAGTGTCCCCTATGTGACTCTGGTGATTTATCGCACCATACTCAATATTTCAGATATTTCAGTCTTCTTGCTCCTCACTGCTATTTGGCTGCCCAAGGTCTCTTTGCTGGCCAACCCTTTGTTATTTTTAACTGTTAACAGATCGGTGCGGAAGTGCTTAGTGGGGACAATAGTGCAGCTGCACCGGAGGTTCAGCAGGAGAAACACTGTCAGCTCGGGTGGTATTGCAGATGATAATCTGGAGCCCAGTGTCCATTCAGGAAGCCAGCTTCTGGAGATGTTTCATATTGGGCAACAACAAATCTTCAAGCCGATGGAAGATGAGGAGAATGAGACCAAATCCATTGGCTCTGGTGACTTTCGAAGGAAAGAAATTCCTAGCACCAGTTTGGAGCTCGGACAGACCTTGGTTCACAGGTTTGTACCACAGACGATTGCAGACTCTGCAGCTCAGGTGGCCCCAGCTGTGCCCACAGAAGCTGATGCAGTAAATGACAAATATTCCATGCAGTTTGGTTTTGGACCCTTTGAGCTGCCTCCACAGTGGCTCTCAGAAAACCGGAACAATAAGAAGCGACTCCTGCCTCCTTTGGGGAATACCCCTGAAGAGCTAATCCAGACAAAACAGCCCAAGTGTAAAGCAGAAAGAAAAGTCAGCAGAAACAATAAAGTCAGTATTTTTCCCAAAGTGGATTCTTAGTAAGAGCAGGAGCTTTAAGTGACAGAGGAATGTCACTTTCTATTACATTTTTGATCCCATGGATCTTTATTATGTTGAAATTTGTTACAGCCTGATTTTTTTTGCCAAATATAAGTTAAAACAAACAAACAAAAGAAAAACATATATATACGTGTTCCTTATTAATATGAACTACTTAATGAAAATAATATATCAAATATATATGGAAATTTGTAGTTTGATCTCTGAAATCCCTACAATGATACCTTGTTATTAACTTTCAAAAGTACATATGAATTTGGGAACTATTTTAATGTCTTAATTATGGAAATGCAGCAGTTGGTTTTCTGGGAAATGTTATGTTGTATTAAAATGGACTGGGCATCAAAGAAACTTTACAGGAAAGGCTGTAGAGAGCAAAAGACATGCAGCATGGTAAGTCCTACTCTCCCACAAATAGACACAGCAAGATTCTGCACATTTCATGAACGAAGTAGGATGGACTACTAAGTGCATTTGTTTTCTGTTACACACATTTATTTGATCAGTGTTAAAACTTGATGGATATTTTTGCACAAATTAGTTACCAAAAATCTGACAAACATCTAAAATATTTTAAAACCTAACCACTGGTTTTTGGCTTAAAAGATCCACAAAGCCAAGAATACCCAAATCATCATGTGTGTTAAACCCAAGAAAGACCTCTTTTTATAAAGATCCCACATATATTCTTGTAGATTTAAGTAAAAACTGGATTGGAGACCATGCAGGACAAATTCTGACTCCAATAAACAAACATGTATGTGCTAAGAATCCTGTGATAAAAGGCATATACAAATGTCCTTAAAGTGTAGTGTGTGTATTAAGTAACTAAGGGATAAACCTTGAAATAAACTTAGCTGATGGTGCACTCTGCTGTTTTCTTATGGGAAAGCAAGCAAATGAAAGAAATGGGTGTGAAATACTAGTGGCCTTTCTCTGAGTGTGACAGTCTCAGTTTCTGAGTCTCTCACACAGAGAGAGAGACTCATAGAGAGGGATTCTGAGTGTTTCAGTGAAGTGGAACTGTTGGGTGAAGAAGCTGGCAACAGACCTAAAAAGGCAAAGGTTTATTAATGCTGTTGCTCAATATTGCCAGAAGTAGAGAAGTTTTCCTTCTATCTGCACAGATACAGATACCAACCCTCTGCTCCACTCATCTTGCAGAGCAGACCATTCAGTGTATGAACACAAGACTTTCAAATCTGGTGCCTAATTCCTGAGCGAGTCAGTCATGCCAGTCCTGGTATCAGCTCGGCAGCCTTTCTGTGAGAGTTCAGGCATTGTGCTGCAGCTTGCCTGTCCACATAATCACAGACATATTGTCTCATTTATACTGAATGTGAACTTTAAACTCTATCTGTCTGTTAGGTGACCTAAAACTATTGCAACCCTGACATTTTAGCTCTTGTTCAGTTTCAAGCAGTCTTTCATTTGCACTCACTGTTGTCTCTGTGGGTAGTTTCTGAAAAGCACAATCTCGCAACACCTGTTTGCTCCTTGTGGTTTTCCTGTACTTCAGCCCTTTGCTGCATGCTGAACCTTTATCTGTGATTACTGTCTGTTTGTGAAAGTAGTTTTCTTTAAAGCATACTTTAAAAGGACAAGGTGAAGAATCTTGACAAGTTCAAAGAAACTTACTAAATCCAACCAGTTAATCTTAAAAGTAAGAAGAAATTCTGCTAAAGCAGGATGTACCTTTTCTTCCTTCAACATGATTGAAGGAAGTCACCAGCTTCTGATGGCTCCAAGGTTGTGGATTTCTACAAATCATTAATAGCAAATGTTTTAATAAAAATGTATTTAAAGTGTATAAATTACTGTGTAAAATGTGCTTTTCTCCATTTCCTCTTTGGTCTCAGTGCATTTCATTTCTTGCTAGTTCAAGAGCTTATCAGTTTGGGAGTGAGGAACAGTCTTCAGGGGGTCCAGATGGGTGCCCTTCTTAAATATAGAGATGAAAAGACATACATAGCTTGCTTGAAATCAGACAGAAGAAAGATTCCAGAAAAAAAATGGTCCTTTTGTGGCAGAGGTGGAGAATTACTACAGCATGCATTTTTTTTTTAAAGTGCCAATAAAAAGTAATTTAATGAAGTGTGTTTTTCTAAAATTAGTGAAAGAAGAGATGCCATTGAGAAAATCTTGAAAACCTAAACGTCAAAGTAGGAGTTGTAGTTTCCTTATAAATTTTGGCTAGGTTTAACATTCATGTCTTGCTTACATATAGGTACTGCTCAAAATCTCTGTGATTTCTGAATGTGGATAAATGTTTACTCAGATCTGAACTCCTTTGAAGAAAGCAAACTTGTTTTTGTCCTTTTCAACTCTCATGTTGAATGAAACACCAGTGATAAACTTAAAGCACTAAATTGTATATAATTTCCTGGAAAGGAAAGGGTTTGTGATGGGTTTTTACTGTTGAAACAAAAATATTTCTTTCTTTCAAAAAGAATAGCTGTAAACACTTGATTGTATTTTTTTTAGCAGATTATATCCAAAGACACTGAAATCCTTCACCAAGAAATTATCTACAGTGGTTTTTCATACCTCAAGAATTACCTGAGAATGTTCTTAGTTCATCTTTTAGCAATTCATCCATGTGGAAAATATCCACAAAAGCACATATTTTTATAGAAAAAACCCCAACCTGTGTAAAAAACAAACTGTTTAATCTGTGTAAAATTCACAGACCAGCCTCTATGCTAGAATTGCCATCTGAAAATTCAGAAAATTCTTTATGCAAGATGGAATATTTGATTTGTTTCATTTTTAACTCCTTTTAAGACAGTAGTAGCTTCGAGTCATTACTGCTGCTGCTTGGATTGTTGTTTAAATTATTGACCTGGTCAAAATGTTTTCCACTGTCCAATTTGAAAAAAAAATCAAGTCTTGTTATGACATCACATTAAAGTTACACAGAAGCGAGTTAAGGGGATTTTTTGGGTCTTTTTTACATAATCACTTTTTCCTTTGCAAGACAGGAGTCTGATTATTGCCCTAACCTTTAGAGAAATTAATACAATGAATATTAGCTGTGGTTGTCCTAACCTGAGTTCTGGAACTGTTACAGTCTGCCTTAGAAATATTGCCTATGGTAAATAAAAAGTACTTCAGGTGAGTACAGAGAAAGATATAAAACATAATCAAATGCAAATAACTAATGACTATTAAAAAATCTTGATTTTTTTTTCTCCAACATCTTTGAGACAATGAAATTAAAGTGTTTTGGCTACCTATTTGTTTATTGAAAGATTTTTCAGAATAGAAGTGGGAAGGTAAGCAATAGTAATTGGGAACAAGTTCTCTGTATGTCCTCTGTTGTTTGTGTCTCTTTTTGATTGGATGAGGAAGAAAAGGATAAATAAATTCTGTTACTATGACAACTGTGTTCTGAGTATCAAGACAGCTTGTCTAAATGTGATTTCATCATGTTATAACCTATTTTTTAGGATGAAAAGCACATCTTGGAGTGTTTTTCCTCCTGTCCACTTTCTAGACAAAAAAAAGTTTTTTCCATTACAAATTTTTTTTTAATAAAAAAATTGTTATAATTCAAGGAACTATGTAGTTTATCTTGGAACAAAATTGACCTGTTCCTGGAAAAGCAAATAAAGAAAGTTGATCCTTGATTCTGCTTTTCTAGTTCAAGCTTCAGTACACCTGACACCTATAAGAATATTTGAGATTATGGAATATTTAATGTTATTAATAAAGTTCAGTCCTTATTGGAGAGGAAGACTCTTATGACCTGATTTACAGGATTTGAGGTGAGCTCTATGAACATCTTTATCTCTGGGTCTCCCAGGACACATAGCAGATGACAAGATCAACTGTGGTTTGAGATATCCCTGCTCAGCCATTATTACTCAGTCTCAGGTGTGACAGCCTCATTGGAAACCTTCACTGGTTCTACATGGACAAACAGCAGCAAGAAGTCCATTCCTGCACCAATTTCAAAGGAGTTTTATGTCCATTTGTAAGCAGATCCAGAGCCAGATGGTCTCCTCTCAAAGGCTCTTGTGAGGTTGGAGTCAGTCTGTAATAGGGAAGTTGATAACAAGACAAACTCTGCCAGCTGTTCAGCATAGGCATTGTGCTGTAGAAAAACAATAAATACTGGGGCAGTTACACCTAGCTGCTTGCCATACCTCATGCATAATGAAAGTAATTCCTAATACCCCCATATTTTAATTTAGCCAGTTTGGAACAATACTGTCCATTCTATTGTTTTCTCATGGTCATTACTGGCCCATGTAAACTTGCACATGTAAACATGCATTCTTCTATTTTTTTTTTTTTTTTTTTTTTTTTGCTTCAGATCATGATCTGCACCATCTGGAAAGCACCACAGGTTCCAAACACCACTATGGTATTGCTTTAGCAATCAGAAGATGTTAAAATTTTAATGTACCAGAGCTCAGCATGCTTAGGGAGGAGGCAAAACCACACAGGGTTCCCTAGTGCATTTTCTGTTTGTCTTCAGTTCTTAACTGGGAACCACATTGCATTGTGACTACACTAAATACCAGGAAAAATGGTTCTCTTAGTGGCACATGTGACAGTAAAATGCAATATACTGTAAGCATCAACCAAAGCTCTACTGCAGACCTCAATACACAACACCACTAGCTAAATAAGATTTATTTCGGCACAAAAATTTGTCAATCAAAACCTTCATTTAAATGAGATGCACTTTGTTTCTTCAGAGAAAACTGTTTCTTGTGAATTTTGACTGCCAATGAAAACCTGACTTTAACACGCATGGGTATCAAAGGAAGCAGTGGGAGCCTGGAGTTGTCTCTGCCGCTTTTTAAGTTAATCGGACCATGGGAATTAATCCTCACATTTTGTTTAAATGCAGGAAAGATAAAAAGGGATAGGATTAGGAAGGCAATCGCGCTCCCCTTATTAATAATTAATTCCTTTTTAACAGCGAGCGTTCGTGTAAAAACAGTGACAACAGCAACTATTTGAAGTTTCACCGGGTATACTGAAAAGCGACACAACTGTCCCTGTGCGCTAGCGTGACACAACGAGTGCAGAGGCCCAGCCTGGGCACAGAGAGCACCAATAATTCCCAGCACGGGCACTGCTCGGAAGGGGCGGCACGGCGCTTGGTGCTATACGGCTACGGCACGGGGGGCTCGCAGGAGGAGGCGCAGGACGGGGAGGGCAGAGCTCCAGCGGGGCACAGGGGGAGCTCGGTCACGTCTGCATCCCCGCGAACGGAGCAGGAGCGGAGCGGGACCAGAGGAGAACTGGAGCGGGAGCGGAGCGGAACCAGCCGGCCGCTGACGGGCCCGCCCCAGCACAGCCGCAGCTATCGCGAGACTGCGCGGCCTGGTCGTCACGGCAACGGCAGCGGCGCCCGCGCTGCTGCCCTCCCGCGGTGAGGACGTGGCCCCTGCCTCGCTGCCTTCCTGCCTGCCTGCCTGCCTGCCTGCTTGCCTGCCTGCCTGCCTGCCTGCCTGCCTGCCTGCCTCTCTGCCTGCCTCGCTGCCTTCCTCTCTGCCTCGCTGCCTTCCTGCTTGCCTGCTTGCCTGCCTCCCTGCTGCCTCTCTGCCTCCCTGCTGCCTCTCTGCCTCCCTGCCTTCCTGCTTGCCTGCTTGCCTGCCTCCCTGCTGCCTCTCTGCCTCCCTGCTGCCTCTCTGCCTCCCTGCCTTCCTGCTTGCCTGCTTGCCTGCCTCCCTGCTGCCTCTCTGCCTCCCTGCTGCCTCTCTGCCTCCCTGCCTTCCTGCTTGCCTGCTTGCCTGCCTCGCTGCCTGCCTCCCTGCCTTCCTGCTTGCCTGCTTGCCTGCCTCCCTGCTGCCTCTCTGCCTCCCTGCTGCCTCTCTGCCTCCCTGCCTTCCTGCTTGCCTGCTTGCCTGCCTCCCTGCTGCCTCTCTGCCTCCCTGCTGCCTCTCTGCCTCCCTGCCTTCCTGCTTGCCTGCTTGCCTGCCTCGCTGCCTGCCTCTCTGCCTCCCTGCTGCCTCTCTGCCTCCCTGCCTTCCTGCCTGCCTGCTTGCCTGCCTGCCTCTCTGCCTCTCTGCCTTCCTCTCTGCCTTTCTCTCTGCCTCCCTGCCTTCCTGCTTTCCTGCCTCCTTGCCGGCCTCTCTGCCTCGCTGCCTTCCTGTCTGCTTTCCTGCCTCCCTCCTTCCCTGCCTGCCTCCCTCCCTGCCTGCCTCCCTCCTTTCTCTGCTTTCTTTCCTCCCTCCCTCTCTCCCTCCCTCCCTGCCTGCCTCCCTGCCTCCTTCTCTCCCTGCCTCCCTTATACTGAAATAAAGACTTGTATTCATTTGAGCCCTCTGAGAATTTCCAGCACGCGTCATGATGCGCTGAGACTTCGAATTCCTGTGAATTCACACAGTTTTGTTGTTGTTTTCTTTTTCAGAGAAACGTGTGTATCTGTAATTTAAACTACAGCCATGATAATTCCTCTGTTCTGAGATTATTTGTAAGATGTGTGCTATTCAAAGCGTCTTTGATAATAAGCACGTTTGAATACTTCGGTTGGCTTAGTATAAATATATATTTGTATGTATATTAAAAAGAAAAGCGCATACTTGAGTGGCAAGCCAGTCTGAACTGGAAAAACCTTGCAATATGGAGTTGCTAGAAAGCATTTGAAATTCACATGTATATCTGAAATATTGCAGGGCTTGTAGTTCTTTATTATGAAACTGTTCATTTGAAAGGTTGTTTTTGCTGGATTTTTCCCCAGTTTTAGGTAACAGTGGATATTACAAGTAGGAGCTTGGATGAAATTTCAAGGCCTGCATTAACCTTGACCTAACTGTAGATCTTTAAATACATCTATGGAGTTAACAACACCAGAACCATGTTTGCAAGAGGTAATTTTTCTCTCTTTCAGCAGGATAAAAACTCCATGCCTAATTCTTTGTAGTCGAATGCTAAAGAAGTAGATTGTGCTTTTTTAGTACCCTAGCCTGACAACCCCAAATCTGACAGTCTGGGGAATGATGAGCTGGAGAATCAATGTGAAATCTAAGTAAAAGAGCTCTTTCCTAGCATCAGTATCAGACCTGAAAATGTTTCTGTTATTTAAGAAGTACTTTACAGTGTTGTACAGAATTGTTGTTGCTCTGTGTGATGTGAGTATTGTGGTTATCTTCTTCACCCAAAACATCCCTGTTTTCATGGTGGCAATAATTTGCATTTCATAGGTAGATTCACCCATCAGTTTGGCCGATGGTTACCAGAATGGCAGTCTAGAAGATGGCTGTCCAGCAGAAAACAAAGGTGATGACAGAGATAAATCTGATGTCCAGGAAGTAAGAACTGATCAGCAAACAGTGGAGAGCATGACCATCTCTCTTCACAAGTGTCTATGGAATCCCATCGAGTTGTCAGGTGGGAATGACTAAAACTTTCTTGTATTGTGTCTAGACCAAATATCAAGTTTTTATAGTTTGGGTAAAATTCTGCTGATTGACGGAATAGAGGTTGCAAATAGGCAAAATTCTGGAAAGGAAGATGTCAAAATCCATACCTTCATTTTTCTTCACTATTTGAAATCCACTTTTGAAAGAAATGTGTTATTCCTGTCGTACAGCACAATAAATGTCTTGTGGCACCATAAACTGTGATCTGGCTTAAAAGATAATTAAAACTCATGTGTGTGTGTTCCATGGAATCATGTTAGAAAGTGTTTTCATTAAGATGTTTTTATCAAACTTTTCAGAGTAATCATGATCATTTGTTAGAAACATTGTATCCTAATAATGGTCCACCTGTCATAAAACCTGGAATTTATGGTTATAAAATACAATATTTAACAAATGAACAATGTTAATACTAATAAAGTACTTTCAATGTAAGTATGCAGTGTATAACTTTATGCAATGTATAACTTTAATTGAAGCACTTGCAGAAGGGTTTCATGGCATTCTTCTGTCATTCAGTAAATGGTAATGGATTAATGTTCTGGGCTGTCCAACTGTTTACAAATAGAGATGCAAATGCCAGTGAGTGAAGCAGATGTTTCGATACCGTCTTGAAATTTAGTTAAGATTTCATGACAGAATTGGGGTCAAAAGAAATCCCTTGAGTCCTGCTCCTGTTTTTGACATGAGTTCTGGTGTACTACTATAAGCTATTTTTTAAATTAATTCATTGCAAGGGCTCTGTGGTGATCCCTAATTGACAAAAATGTATCTGGTTTATTTTGAAAGGCTTTTCCCTGTGTTTTTCAGGATGTACCTCTACTTCAGATTCTCGAGATGAAAACACTGAAACACAGATGTTGAAATTCTGCGAACCTACCCCGGGACAACCAAGTAATGCAAAGTCAGACACTACTTCACAAACTTTGAAATCCTGTGAAACTTCCCCAGAAAAAACAGGTAATGCAAAATCAGATAGTACTTTTCAGGTGTATAAAACGAGCAGTGCACTAAAAACTTTTCTGTTTCTTATTAATCCTTCTGAGTTTGTAATGGTCATGTATTTGTGTGTATATTCTGTAGTTATAAAAGGATACTGCAAATTGAACGTGTATATGAATTGTGTTTTTCAAGAGGTATTGGATGAATTCTTTATTTAGAGGTTGCTTTATTAATGGATATTAATTTTCTTTAATGTTATAATAGAATTTGACTTTTCTGTAGATTCAATCAGTTTAATAAGGCAGAATTCAGTGGTTATCATATCCAGTGCAGCAGTGTTGGTCACCAAACGTGACATTAATATCTACAGAACAGAAATTCAATAGAACTCAGCCTAAAGCTTCACTCAGTAGTTTAAGGTTTATATCAATCTGCTGAGTTCAGGCCAGTTGAAATAAGTGCTCTTTTTTTTACCATCTGTCCTTTGGTCCATCTGTCCTCTGTAGCTCACTTCGATTTTCATAGCTCTCCCCTTGTTGTATCTCTGATCTTTTTATGGCATAAAGTAGACCAATGCATCACAGTAAATGGTTGGATCAATGGCTATGAAAAGTGTTTCACCTCAAAAGATTAGAAAATGAAACAGAGTGTTGCAGGGTTCCAAAATTTGTAAATCTGTGGGATTAGGGGCAGTGCTGCAATTGTTTCCTCTACTCTTGATGTGGAATCCATAAAAGAGGACAGAACATGAGGATGCTATAGGAAGGGGAAAAGGTAAAAGTTATAATTATAATCTGCATATTTAGGGAAAAAAAGGAGACAGTATAGAAATCTACTTTAATTAAGTAATGGTAGTTTCCATAATGTTTCACAGTTTTTCATTTTTATAGCAATATTTTTCTAGAACCAGTATCGGAATCTGGTTTTTCTAAGACACAAGACTGAAACTTCTCTAATATTTAAAGGCAGAGATATTACAGAGTCTCTCTTAACCCTCCCTCAAAAATATCTCTTTTGAATTATTAATTTCAAAATGTATTCTACAAGTCAGGCTGAAAAAATTATTTTATATTTTTAAAGTCAGTGATTTTATTGCTGATACTGTGGAGATATTGTCACTCTGCCATTATAAATATGAATCAAATTACTTGCCCAAAATAGGTGACTTTTCTTCTCTCACGGCTCCATATTCAACTGACACAGCTCAGAGTTTGATTCAGCACTCTGTTGCAAAGACTTCTGTATTTTTCCCTGCTCCAAACAGGTTTAGAGATTAACATTTGTTTGAGAATATTGTATTCTTGTCTATGGGTGTTGCCAAATTACTTGAACTGCTTTTTAGTGTTTGTTTGTTTTTTTGACATGCTTCAAGCCAACATTAATTTTAAATATTTTCTCCAGCAGACTCTTCTGACTTGGAATGTTCTGAAGACATGGACATAAATGCTCGGATTCAAGCAGCTGTAAAGAAAATGAATAAACTTGACACCATACTTGAAAAACAGTGTTTAAAGGAAAAAGCAGTTAAAAAGCAAGGCAGAGAACTCAGGGCAATGCTCTGGGAAGAACTTCAGGTTAGAAGTGTTCTGCTTATTTTGTGATTGATATATCTTAGAGTACTGTCTTAGAGAATTATCATATTTCAGAGAAGCCTTATTATCAAATAACTCACAGTTGGCTAACTAAAATTAAGAAATGGATCTTAAAAAGTAAGATTGGATAGTTTTTAATACATTGGCTAGGCAGGCTGTGAAAGAAGGAGATGGTCCTTAAAAATTGATAAGACAAATTGCCAAATACACAGCTGTCTGGGTGTGGTTTATTAGCATAGTATTATGCGTTCTCTGCTTGCAGGGAGAGTAAGGTGTGTCAGGAGGTAACATCAGTGAACCCAGGCTGAAAAGCATTTATTCTGCTCAAGTGGGATCCTTCCTAGGCCCAGCTGTTTCAGTACTGTTTGTTGTTGAAGAAATTAAAGATGCTGCCTGAAGAAGACATAAGAATGCTACAATACAAATTCCTTTACCCTATCCCTGTGCTGGCTTCTAGCAGTTAAATGCCTTGAAATAAGTTAGTATTTCCTCTGCTTTACATGAATAGAAATCTGAGTTGCTAAAAAATATGATTGGTTTGACTGCATTTCATAATTTCACTGGATTTGGATTTGGAGCCACACAGATGTTACAGAACTTCTTTGTCTGGTGAAGGGATCTCCACATAAAAGACAGTGTGTAACAGAGGCTTTAAAGTTTCACCATACTTTTGTCATAACTTCAGGAGATATTCAAATAGCCTCAAGAAGAAAATTAATTGAGAAGAGTAATTTTTAATAGGGTCTGAAGTTCATTAGATCTGATAAGCAGACAGTGTATTTCCCTTTAAAGAATTTATTTTAAATACATGACTGTATCTCTGCATACACAGTTTATTTTTTTTGAATAGTGTATTAGAACCACAGGAAGCAATGAGGAGGTGGAAAACACAAACCAGTTTTTGGCTGTGTTATCACCATGGCATAATACAGCTGGTAAGTAAAGAGAAACAGAATTGTGATACATCCTATCATTTTTCTTTTTGGGGAGATAATAGGGATTTGGGATTTGAATGGTTATTGCTGAGCAAAAATCTCAGCTTGAATATTGGAAGTACATGCATAACAATGGTAGCAGTGTGTGGTTAAAATATTTAAACAAAACTTACTATTTACAATGTAACCTGCTTTTATTTCTATAGTTTGGGTTACTAAGGGAAGGAAACAATTGGATAGGGGTGATATTTAGGCAGCCTCCAGTAGATGTCAGGATATATTAAAATAACAGTAGACAAACATGGCTATATAACTGCTAACTCCTTTATGTCAAAAGTAACTCCTGTAGAGACCATGTGCATCATGTGGTTTCTGGTGTATTGCACGGACAAAACTGCATAGTTTACATTTATTGCTTTCCTCCAGCTTGATCTTTATATTTTCTCTATCATGGTAGAGCCTTATTTTTCAGGTCTTATTTATTTTGGTATTTATTTAATTAAACAAATATCTCGATGGCTGCCCTGGTTGATAGTGAAATGGAATACATTTAATATATTTTGCTTTTCAGAACCTGAATTTGATAGAGTTTATTAAGTAAATTATATATGAGAGCTATTATAGTTTTTAATGTAGCTATGAAATCAAGCACAAGTTCGGATGTGCAAAATAATTGATAACTTAAGTGTTCCAAGCCTTTCAGGCACAACAAAACCTTCTGACACACTCTCAGCAGAAATGTAAATCAGGGTTTAATTAAACAGCCCTAAATTCCTTACCCTGTGCTCTGTTTAACAAAATCATTTGTTCAGTTGAGTCCATTATACTGCATTATTAGTGGTTATTGTATGTTTTTTCACATGAAAATCACATGTAATTAGTTTGGTTCTTTGGAATATGAGTCCTTTTCTGTAAGTGCTAAGCGTATAGACTGTGACTTACTGCTCTAACTGGTATTTCCAGTTGGCTCATATGAATACTTCAATTGATTTTTTTTCTTTGAGTAACTGAAACAACTAGAATGCTTGAACACTGTTTTTCTAGACTATGCCCTTGACCTAAGCTGCTTGTATGTCTAATAATTCATGCAGAGGCAGACACCAGCTGTGAAAACCTGGATGCCTTACTCTCATTCAAAGTTTTAGATGACTTGCCACATGGTGTCTGCAGAGGCATTTGAACTTTAGGGCCTTGGGGTATGTTTTTGAGAATGTGAATTGTCTTCCATGGGCAGTAGTTGTTAAGAACATGAATACAGCCATAAGAAACTGCATAAATATGACTCACACTTTACACTTTCCCCCTTCTTTATTTCTTGAGAAATACAGTGCTTATGTCATTTATCCAAGTGAATTTCTTTACTTTCCAATTGTATGATACACATGACGCTAGGTCTTCCATAAATACGTTTCAGTTAAATTTTACTGGAAAAAATCCCTTACAGATCTCTCCCATGCTAAAGAGGATGAAATATGCACTTCAGTATTTCACACATACATGAATCTTGAGGATGATAATTGCCATAAAGCCCAAGAAAACCAGGGTAAGCTTTATTAATGGTAGAGTTTGTATTTTTAGCAATGGCAAAACGACATATGCAATGGGTGGGTAATGAAGACTCAGCCTTTTTGGCAAGGCCAGTGAAATGGGAAAAAGGAAGGTTACTTACTGGAAGAGTGACAGGTCTTACCTTTTTTTGCAAATGAAGGAAGAGAACAGCTATGTGACTTATCTAAGACATTTTACTCAACATGCTAAGAAAATTTTTTACTGTTGGGTTTATAAAGCCATTTTTCATTCATTTCAAAAGGAAGAGGTGGGTAACAGATATATTGTAAAATGTGTCATTGATTCTTCATGGCAATTCTTTAAAAACTTTTCTTTGCTGTTACTCTAAGGTATCTTAGTTTTATTAATAGGCTTATATTCAAGAAACTATCTAGAAATGACAAGTGGTGCTGAATCTGACTGCAACTGTTCTGTATTTTTCTGGTTTTCAGCAGAAATTGTTTGGATTTGTGTCAAACATAAATCTTCAGGCAACTTATTTTATATTTTGCTATTCTGATTATTGTAAAGTCTGCGTTGCTTTTATGAAATAAGTACTTTCTGGCAAAACTCAAACACCTGCTGATTCTTTTAGGGACCATGTGTTATCATGCATTGTACAGACATTTTACATGCTGTTAGTGGTGTAGTGTGTCCTATCATGTCAAAATAAATGGAATTGTGCTTGTATGCCTCTATTATTTTCCTATTTGAAATTCAAATTTGTGTGGTTAGTAACTTTTCACATGTGTTGTAATATAAGAATAATAGCTTCAACTGCCATTGCTATCAGCTGCAATTGTTTATTTCTTTGTCAGCTACCATTCTGTGTAAACAGAAGGAATCTATCTTCCTGGTGACTGGCTAAGATGACAAAGATGTAACATCAGTGTATTCCTTAAGGCTGAAGCATCGATGGCAGCAATATCTCTGCAGTTTGTAGAATGTGACTGCATGCTTTAATTTTTGACCATGGATCTCAGCTCCTTTGTCACTTTAGCACTTGTCTTAGTTACCCAGTATGTGACCTTATCTTTGTGGGCTGGAGCTTTTAATTTCTCTGTCTTTCTACCATGTATTTTCATTCCTCCCTTAAAATAAAGCTTGGCCCTCAGCTTCTCTCTCCAAAATTCCTGAGTTGTGCTGGAGAGTCCTTGGCATAACAATGGCAGGTTTCACTACCACTATTCAATACAGCACTGACTTCTGGAGCTTCCAGTACAGGCATGGTTGGGAGTTGCTATCACTTGCACTATTTTGAGATGTTCTGCACATTCCTGCTTTGGGAATGCATGAAGTAGAGATCACTTACAGCTTGTGAGCAATATATATTGCTTTAAATGACATTTACTATTTTTGCTGGAGGCTTTTCATGTGGTGTCTGAATAGCTAAGAATTACTGGTTTTGTTGCTTTTGGATTTCTTTTGTTGCTTTGGATTTCTTCTTTTATGTCATAGCTGTCATAAAGGCAGACCAAGAACAAGAGGAGCTTGTGAAGAAGAATGTATGCACTAGTTTTATGCTGTTACTTCATCAGTCTCATCAAGATTTATACCAAATCCTTGAAATATGTGCCAAATCTACCAAAATGCATATGGAAAATTTCTTTAGCTGCAATCTCTCATTTAATTACCTTTGGCAGTCTTCAGTGTATTCTTTGTCTCAGTGATCCATGTCTGTCCCTTCTTTCTTCAATGTTCTGAGATGTTCTGTATGATAGCTCCCTCTCAAAAATGCTATTCTACAGTCAAGTGGAAGATATAGTTTAGAAGTAAGGTATATCTTGCATGTTATGTTGGTGTTTGATGTGTTCTGCTCATTTCAGGATGCAACTTTATATCAATGTCATCTTTATATCAATGCTTACGTTCCTGTATGATCCATTTCCTTGACACATGATGTTGTATGGTAATGGTAAATTTTGTAGGGAAATAACCCACCCATTTTTCAAATTTCTGCTTTCCATAAAAGCAAAAAGTACCATGCCTGCTTTTGAAACAGTTCTTGAGATTTAGAAGTTGATTATATTTGCTTAGACTTGTTATTTATGTGACAAATATTTGCTGTTTGTAAAGGAATTGTTATTTTAAGCATGGTGAAAGTCTCTGAAAAACAGAATCATGCCTTTTTTTTGGTCATGGATAGAAACCTATTGTTATTTGAAAATCATGTGTGTGTTTAATAGATTTACAGCTCTACAATGAGTTTTAGTTTTTAACAATATTTGTTTTATAAGCTGTGTTATAATAATATCAACTATATCATCTGTTTTTCAGCTGTTTTATTTAGAAAAATGTACTTGATATGTCTCCAGATAGTTCTGTGGTTTTCAAAAAAATTATTGTCTGGTTTTGTAATGATGAGAAAACTGCAATGATGAGAGGGTTTAAAGGAATGCTGTGGCTTTTAAGGCCACCATGTTTAACATTTTTGAGGTCAGAAATCCAAAAGTATTTTAGCCTTTGTAACATTGAGTGATTTCATATAATAAAAAGTTGAAAATGAAATTAGATTTTGGCAATAGTATGTTTTTAATACAAAAATGCATAATATTATTTATACAAATAACGAAAACATCATACAAAAAGTTTGCTTATTGACTCTATATGTTTGCTAAAGGTTTGAATGGGATTGATGTTATTACAGTTCTTGTAGAATCAAAATAGGAATGATTTTAATGCAGCAACTTTTCTTCCTCAAACATTAGATTATCCAAGTGAATTAGAAACAGAAAAACCAGCAGAAAAAGCGCATAGCAAAAATAAAACCAGCCAGCATTTCATTAAAAAGAACATTGAGGTAAGCATTGAAGCATAAAACCAATAGCATTTTTAAAATGTTAGCTAGAAATCAGTCAATAAGTACTTTTGGAGACAGTTTTCTCTTAAAATTAGGAACTTTAGAAGCTAATTAGGCATAAATGAAGAAATTACCTTTCTGTTAAAGCTGCAATTTATGGCAGAGTACTGTGTTAGGTAGTTCTCAACTTGGATGCTCATATTGGTTAGGATAATACTGCTTCTATGCATTTGATAAATAGTATTGGAAACTGAATTGTTGTGTTTTGGACAGTTTTTTTTAAGAGCAATATCCTAAGACTTTTTAAAAATTTACGTACTGTTAAATAAACTTTATTTACTGTTAACCTGATGCATAAATAAGGGATAGATATGCAGGTTGCTCATGTGTAGCCTGGATGGGACCATGTTTTGTCAGAAAATACATCCCTTGATTTTTCTGCTTTTTTTTTCCTGTGAGGACCTAGTAGGTATCATGATTTTTCATCCAATGAAAAAATTTGCCTCCCCACTATGTCAAAGACTAAGATAAGATTATAAATTTATTATATGTAGGCTATATTTTTCTGTCAGAGTGATAATTTGTATTGTTGAAATGAACAAGATTTGGCTGTTAATTTCATAGAGTTTAAAAGCTTGTTTTGGAGGTGTTTGAGTTAGTGGAGTTCTTAAGCATGGGTTTTTTTCTTGTTGTAAATATTTCAGCTAGCAAGGGATTCAGGAAACCAATTTGTTATGCTTGAGGGAGAAAGGAAAAGGCTAACTGAGCTACTGAAAGATACAGAAGATGGAACTGAATTGCAAGATCTTGAGGTATGACAAATTTAGTCGGTACTGTTCTGTTGTATTTGGCTTATTTTTGCAGTAAATCTAAATTTGATCTTAGTTCTACCATGAAATACCCTACTGAGATATAACAGAAAATATGGATAGATCCTGTTGAATTTGTCTCCAAAAATGAATTCTCATTGGTTTTTTTTGTTAATTTTACTAACATCAGAACCTAAAAGAAAAGTTAGGCACAGGAGGAGGGAACCTTAGAACAACAGTTGGAGAAAATGACTTTTTTTTTTTTTTTCATAAAATGTGAAGTTGTGGAGTATCAATCTGAATGGTTACTGCTGTAGTCTCAGGGAGGAAGGCCAGCAACTACTTAAATACTTGCAAAAACCTCTCAACAATTTTTTGACAACTGATAAGTGGACTTCAAAATGCAATAATTGGGGAAATACACATTTATGAAGCTTCTGTGTCCATTTAGAAAGATAATGTGACATCTTTTTGTGGCTTCCAATTCAGTCTGTCTTAAAAGTACATAAATTCTGCTTAAACATTAGGTATCTATGCTTTAACATAATATTGTTAAACAGTGCACAGTCTGCATACTTCAGTAAATAGCAGGAGCTGAAGTGAATAAAAATCATCCTCATGGAGAGTAACAAAGAGTATTTGATTGTCCCATCAATCACTGTTTCTAGGAGATGGTCTTCAGTTTGATAAATGTCATCATTTAAAGATCTGAAGATGTTTTAAACTACCTTCTGTTAGTAAACATAGCCTTCTGACCTACGAATAGTGGCTTTTAAAAAATAATTTATTTTATTGATTGCAAAAGCCTTCTCTCAAAACGTGTAGTTACCAGGTTTTCTTTCTCTTTAAGCGAGAATTTAGAGCCATTTATACAGAGCAGCTAATGCAAATTCCAACTAACAGTATGTACTTTTTTTTGCTTCAATTCTCAAGGCATCAAGACAATGGAAAAGTGTAACATTTGTCCCCATTTTGTATTTGGCACATGTCACTATCATGTTGGTGTGTATCTACAGAGATTTCACTGTTAATATTAGATATGAAGTAGATCATATTACAGGACACGTGTGTTGCTGTATGTTCTTGATACCATTTACGAAAATGGCAATTTGTGGTTACTCTAGTCTGTACTAGATCATTTCTTTAGAGAAAAAAGCTCTTAACTCCCCTATCAAAGTAGAGTGAAAGAAAGGATAATAGTTACTTAGACCTGTCTAGTCTAGTGATGGATTCTTCCTCTCCCACATTTGAATTTTTTTTTACGGGTGAGGCATTTCCTGTGGCTACTTCATAACAAAAATCATGAGGAAATTATCAGCTAATGAGTAATCTAGACAACTTCAAGCTGGCCCAGCTAACTATCCAGCTAGTGACCTCTTTCATCTTATTTATTCTGACTTTTAAAAAGCTGTGCAATCACATTGGCTGGAGTTATGTTTTGGAGTCTGTCAATCAAGGCAGATCTGGTTATGTTGTATGAATTCCTTTGTATGGTGTAATGTGAATTAGATAACCTCATTTGACTTATACTGCTATATATGCCAAATATCCAAACAGCACTTCTCACTTTTTGAAAGAATGTTTTATGAGTGTTTAAAATATTTTAGAAGTACACATATTCATGCTAATTTAATTGTAAAAGCTGAAGCTGCAGGGTTATAATTGTTTCAGATGTTCCACAGAAAGCACTGACTGTGCTGTTATAAAAGTTATTGTTCTGAGTTAACACACAGGAAACATTGACAGGACAGAAGCTTATTTTCCAAGCAAAGCTATCATGAAAATACAAAAGAGAATGTGTGAGTCCATTTCATCATGGAGTAAAATGACTGCTGGGGTAATTTGGATATTTGGAGTATGGGATACAGACCCTGAGCTGTAGCTAATGAGCTCAGTTACACCTTACCAGACTCCTGTAGAGTCATTTCTGTGTTTTTGCTCTGTGATTTTCATTCTCTGATTAGGAGGTGGTTAACATGACACAAATGTAGTACCATGCTGGATACTTATGTTTTTGTGGTCACTGTCTCACCTGAACAGATGTTTCCACAAAGCTGGCAAGCATCTGAGACATTTGTGAGTGACTATGTTGGAGTCAGCTCAGGTCTGGTTGAGCTCATTAGTTGTCTCTCATCATACTTGTATGAGAAAGCATTAGAACTGATTTTGTTTCACAAACAAGATTACTCTTGACTCTCTTTTTTTCTTTCTCTCTTTTTTTTTTTTTTCCATTTATAACGAAGATAATTTATGACAGGTGTTTGGGGTATGCTTCTTTTTTCTTTTTGCAACTAATATGCTTTAGGGTAATGGGGATGAACCACAAATGACCTCATAGCAGTGGCATTGTAATTGGAAGCTGATATTTCCTCCTCTTGTATGGATGCAACTGCTTGAATAGCCAGAGGACTAATTTGGAAGCTGGACACAAATGGTGGACATGAATTTCTTGCAAGATAGATAATAGAGTCTTAGGGCAAGGTCCTGTTCTGGTAGGAAAAAGAAAGGAAACCAGCAATACTCTCATGTCCTTCCACACATCCTTCCTCTTCTAAGCTCCTGTCTACTGCTTCGTTCTGCTGTGGTCAGGACACAGAGATGCAATCTGCTGCTCTGATACCCAGTGGGTGGGTTGTACAGACTTGCTTCCCTGTGTGGAGGCAGGGAGTGCCCAGCTGCTGTGGGGAGCCTGCATCTGTCTGTGGGTATTGGCTTAAGTGGCCCAGCTCACTCACAATATGCAGCTGTATGTACTAGAAGTATATATTCATGTGTGTTATTCAGGTGTTAACTGCTATCAAGAGAAAAAAGTCATGTAAATCATGATCAGGAAAAGAACTCTCTGCTTTGTGTCTCTCCCAGGGTTTCTGTGATAACACATAGGGGCTCTAGAAGGATGGCAGCTACTGACCTCAGAGCAGTTCCTTTGATTTCCTGTGAATGCCTTGTTTTCTTCTTTGGTGGTACTTTGCAAACATCACATTACATCTCATACCCTCCATTTGAGATTTGGCTCCAGGTGGTTTCTGCTGTAGTATCAACCTCTGCAGTTTCATTCCAAACCAAGTTTTGGTTAGGCTTTCTCACTTTTTGATTCCTTTATCAGATGGAAAGTGGTTGTCCATTTAAGTTGCTCCTTGGTTATATTTAAAAGTGATGAATGTATGAATGTCTCTACTTGTTCTGTCCATAGCTGCTCTCGAGTGTGCTAAGAACATGAATATTTGGGAGATTTTAGCTGTATACTGAGATGGATGAAAATGTACATTTTATTATTAAGTATGGTTTATCTGAATAATAAATACACTTGGTATGCAACTGCCCTTAAAGTCTGTTTCCTTTGCAAATGAAGCTTAAGTATTTTCTGTGCCTCCATTAGGAGAATGTACCTGTCTGGCAGGCACCAGGAGAAGGGTACGCGCCTGAACTGATGGAATTTCATCTTCTGAATGAGATAGACAATAAGCTTCACCTGCTGCTCTCTGATGGGGAGTTTCCTACTCTTTCCAACTCTAGCTCAAAATGTCCAGGCCAGATATATCAGGTAGGTTACAGATCTGTTTTATTTTATTTGATATTTTATTTGAAGTATATTTTGAGATCAATACTGCGTACAGCTGTATTTGTATCTTTTGCATTTTTCTTTAGGATCCTCTATTTATTCATAAAGTCTATGTGTTAAGGAGTGAAGTGAGAAATTTTAGCTGTAGAAAACAATGGAAAAATAATTTGTTGTTATTTTGAGTCATAGGTAATTCAAGAACTGACTTGTTTTTAAGAGTTTTTGATTCCACACTTCCAATATACAGAAAATGGTAACCCATACATTTTTATCTGAACATATGTTTCAGCATAGAAACAAAATATCCATGATAGTTTACCTTTGGGAATTAAAATTAGGTTTCTTCTTATCTCAGGATACCAAAAGTGCCTGTTCACTTATGATCTGAAGGATAAGGCAATAACTGATAAGTAATGTTAAAGACTGTAGGAGATGGATTGAAATTGTATGTCCCTTGTTTTTAGTGGCCTTTGTCTTTTTGCCTTGCCAGTAATATTGAGCTTTGAAGATTAAGAATCAAGGTCTCAGCCTTGAGAAGTGATTGTTTGACTTTTGTACTTAGAAGACTACAATTTATCCCATGCCCTAGTACTGTTGCCTCTACTATAATGAGGTTTAAAATAAAAACCCCTGATTCTTATTTTTCATTTATTTGCGCAAAGCTTATATACTTCTGTAATGTTTTCCTCTTATGGCCAGAACTGATGTATCAGAGAATATGTGTAAAAATGTTCATTCACAAAACTGTTTTCAGTTACCAGTGTATGAGAAACATCTCTTTAAGAGGCTAAAATACCTGTGGGTTTGGTTTTTTTCTCCTTTTGTAAGGGCACTTTAATGTCATTTTTATTGGCTTCTTTCTGAACATGAGGTTTTGTTTTACCTCTAGCAGTATTTTCTGTAGCTCAGTTCCAGAGGAGTCACATTTTCATATTGATCATTTACCAGCTGGGATCTAATGTGAAAAAGCACCTCCCTCTTGTTGGTAATCACATAACCACTGCAGTTGTTACCCTGAGCTTCCCAGTGATTGCCTGATCTTGTGTTCAGTGTTGTAAGACATCACCTTGAAGTTAATGTGACTTGCCTGTGATAATGAATGCTCTGTCTGGAAATGTTTGTCCAAGTTATTGTTGTTGCTTCCTTTCAGGTAATAGCCCAGAAGTATTTGAACAGAAATCTGCATTTAGGTGTATGCTAATCAAAGAGTAATGTATTATCTTTTTTGAGTAATATTAAACCTAACAACCAAAACCAGGTAGCTAATTCCTTGTTACCTTTCATTAGTGAAAAGCAGTTCCCTTCAGTTTTGTTTTGCAGCATGTAAAAAGCTTTCAGACATTGTAGTTCTATGATTTTAATTTAGAATTAGCTTAGAGTTGGATATGATGAAGCTGCACATTTTCTTCCAATAATTGTGTTAGATGTAGCTTCCAAAATGCAGACACTTAATCACTGTTGCCTCAGTGGGAGATGTCCTTTTTGCCACTGATGGATACTTTGCCAGGATACAAGAACTATTCTCTCACTCTGAAATCTTTAATGATGGGCTTCAATTATCCTGCAATACCATAGCTGAGCTGTAACAGAGGAGCAGACATGTTCATTTTTTTGTGCAAGTGGTCCAGTGGGATTAAGAATGCTTTTCCATGACTAATGTTCTCTTTTACACGGAAATGTTTCTCATCAGAACTGTATTTCTCTCAGAAATGTTTCTTTGCTCTGGTGCCAAATCAACTAAATATTTAAAAATGTTTCTGTCTTACTTAATAGTTTTAGGGAAGAATAAATTAAGTTTAATTTAATCCTGAAAGAAACAGGAAAATGATAGGCTGAAGAATATGGAGTGTAAGACTGTGTGTGATGAGTACAGTTACCAGCTTGAAAAACTGAAAAACTACCTGAAAACTAAAGCAAATGAACATGGTATTTAAAGAAACAATACTATCTGTAGGCTGGATTGTCTTAAAAGATAATTAATGTGTATCACCAGGAAGAGTTCTTTGATAGCTGATTGGGGTTTTTTTGGTCAGGAAAATATTCCCTTTTTCTATTATAGAAGTGGTCTACAGTTAGCAGTTTAAGATTAGATAAATACTCAAAATTCAGAAGATACACTAATTTTTCCATTAATGAAGTCCTTGATGGCCTATGCTCTATGCCTATGCTTTTCCAAAACAGATGAATTTCATAGATGATATCTGTTTCAGAGCATGGTTAGAGGCAGGTTAGTAAACTGTTCAGCCAGTTATATACCTCAAGATGATTGTATGACCCTAATATGCTTTATTAGGTGGGATTTTGTTATTTATTTATAAAATTTGGAGGAGAGGGAGTGCAACAAATAATTACAGATATTTCAAATACTGCAGATTTCTCTTTGGCATTGTGTTTGTTACAGCTTTGGCTCTTGCTTAGTATTCGAATTTTCCCTTGTGTAAAATGTTTAACAGTTTTATTTTCTACAGATCTAAAAATATGAAAGACAAAGTAATCTTAAATGGACTTCTCTACTATGTACATGTGCTATATAATTGAAACAGAACATATTCTGAAGTGTGCGAAACATTGGCAACAAAATGTTTTCCTTGATATAATACTTTATACATTTATTTCATGATATCTTGAGAAGAATGTTAAAAAATTAGTAAGTGGGGAAAGGCCTTGACTTTACTCATATTGTGTGAGTTTCTATCAGTTACTATTCAGGGATGAGAGAAGTGAGGCTGCAAGAACTACTTATGAGAAAGCAGCCACTTAATGCTCCAGAGTGGTCAAATATCAAATAGATTATTATGAATAATTTTGAAAGCAATACAGAATGAAGCAGAAAATAATGATTGTTACAGGAAAGTTTGCTGTCATTGTGGTACTGCCAACTATTACTGATTGTAAATATATATTAAAAATTTTACTATATTAAAATAAGTTTATTTTCAAGCAACTAATATTTTGATTTAAATGTCAGAATTCATAGATTTGCTTGATGTTTAGAAAAAGTTGTTTACAGATGCAGTTTTTTGTATATTGTAGCTGAGGAATTTACTGTTGAATGTTGAATTGTGACGGTTGTTTTCTTTCCAATTAGTCGTGCTACTTGGAATTATTTTCCTTCTGTGTCTATTAAAATTTCTCGAGCTGCTTCTGAAAGTAAGAATGAATAGAGTACTTTTTTATTCTATGGGTGCTTGTGTCCCTTTGGATTGAATTGATTATCAAGTTAGGGAAAGGTTTTTTGCTTACGCTTTTTACCTTTGCCACTATTGGATTTTTCTATAGAATCTATGGTTTGCAAGAGAAGGCTCTGGGGTTTTTTATGATTACAACATAACTTTGCACTTTTGCCAATACTTGTCATTCTCAATGAACTGAATTATGTGTAAGTACTGAAACCTGACTGTATTTGGGACTGATAGAAACTTCAGAATCTAGTCCAAACCTATCAAAGGATGTGAGAATGTGTAACACAAGTCTTTAATAAAGGTTGGGCAATTAACTCCAACTTACAGAGAGAGGGTTTTTCCTCGTTTAACATGATACCTAGTAAACAAAAGATGTTGTCTTTTTTGGCTCAATTTTTTCCTTTTCCTTCTGGCTTAATTCTGATCCCAGTAAGGTTAAGAGGATCAAACTTTGAACCAGTCATTCAGTCACCCCAATTCTCAGAGTACTTTGATTGTTGTAGTACAAATTAAGTATCCAGGTGTTAGATCTGGAGACTAAGAAATTCCTCTTAAAATGCGAAGAGTAAGAATTCTTTTGTTGAAATATGTTTTGCCTGATATTTAGCTATTGTGTTTGAAAATATACATGATGAAAACTATTCATTTGCAGAATTTGACATTGATGTGTTATTCTAAGCATTTCACTATTTTCTTAGTAGAAATCAGAAGAACCCTCATCTGTCTATGAAGCAATATAAAGTTACATGGTTAACTTCTATCAATTATTTTCTTAGGAGCCTTTGATCTATGCAAGCAGAAGCCTAGAAACAATTCCAGGTGAGAGGGTTCTGCGGGACAATAAGGAAAAACGTGATCAACAGAATCGTCTGAAAGAAATAGATTATCAGCTGGAATCCCTAGCAAGAAGTCTTGTAAGTTTCCTATTTTTTCATATTTTTCTTTCCTTATTCTGAGAACTTTGGAATTTATCATTCCTTGTGTCTTTAAATAAAATCAAGTTTTTAAACCTTATGTAAATTTCTGAAGGAATCCCCAAAGAAATATGCAGGCAAAAGCCCCAAATAATTATTGTTAGTCTGAGAAATCTTTTTTTTTTCAGTTGTAATGCATACTTACTTTTATTATAGGATACTTCAAAGTCAAAGACATTATTGTCCTCTTTTTTTCCTCAGAGAATGCATAGCATAAACAATAATATATAAATGCATCCTTAAAGGAATTTTAATGGCTCATGTACTTCAGTGTTCTTTGAAGGACCAAGTCTGATGAGAATATTGTATACACTAAGTTATTGTGGTAATCTTTCTTTATTATCACTAAATTGAAAGAAAAATAGCATTTTTATGTCTGTGCATCGTAGAAATTCGTTTCCTGTGTGAAGCTGATTTTAGTTTTTCACTTAGTAAGAAGAACATAAATATCTAAGTTTGTTGTGACTGACCAAAGATCCATGTAGCCTACCTTTTTCTCTTGGAGGTCTTTATTCAGCAGTAGGCTTACTCTTCACAATAATTAGAGTTAGGAAGAGTATTGTTCCTGTTACCTTTTATCACACTTGAAAAGGGATCTCCAGTGCAGATCAAAAGCTTTGTGATTCAGGTGGCAGCATAACCACAGTGGTATAATCTCAATTACTTACAGCACCCTTGCTGTAGTTGCAAAAGCTGCAGCCACTCATCATAAGCAAGGTTTATTCTGGCAGTGCTGGAGTATACCTGAATATGGGAACAAAGACTTTGGACAAGGAAACAGTGATTGTTTTAGAGGCTGTTCACTTGGGTGTGTGTGACTAGAATAAAGAAGCATGTTTAATTCTTATTTATTCACAGTTCCAAAACAATAGTAGAACTTCTTTTTTAGTGCACTATTATGTTGTATTAAACAGTTAAAAGAGAGGGACAAATAAATAAGGGAAATCTGTGAGCTTTAGTATGTTGAGTAGGTTAATGGGTAATCAGATAAAGTAAGTCTGCATATTGTAATATTTTTCTGCTCATCGACCTTTATATCACATTTTGTCACTACTGACCTTACTCATGAGGCAAGCACAATCTGAGGAAGTGTGTCTGGGGATTGTATGATAGTCTACAGCAGGCCTGGGAAATGCAGTGGTCTGCTGACTCATTCAAATATTTTGTTTATAAATGGGTCAGTTCCAAAACTTGTTTGGGTTATAGCAGTTTTGTTTGGTATCAGATTACTTGCAGACTCTTGCAATGTACCACCCATTTTTCCTTGACTGGATTGTATGTATTTAAAACTCTAAATTGATAGACTGTAATGCCAGTTTACACTGTTTAAAAATACAGAATGTCACCTGCACCAATGTGTAGCATGACTGCCTGCATCGCAGCACCTGGCAGGGCTTCTTTGGGGGGCACACTGTCTTCTGATCATTGCTGCTCTGTAGCATGACTGAGATCATGGCGTGTGGATGTCAAATATGTGAGTAGTAGGTCCTCTGTGAGATACTTCAGTTGTCAGTGAGGGTAAAGAAGTGTTCAGGTCTGAATGCAAGTAGGGTTTTCCTTCTAACAGTAAAGTTAAATATATAGAAAGGATGCACTTTCTTGAGTGAAAAAAGAGCTGCCTTTAAAAAAGAGTGCTTTTTTTCTCTTTTTAACAAAACACACATAAATGAATTTTTTTCCCCTTAGATCAGATAACTTATGCACAGTTTTGTTTGGACCTTGTTTCTATACCAAAGTAATATTTTGGCAAATCTGGTCTCTGCCAAGACACTGCATGATGAAAAATGAAGCTGAAAGCTTGGGTTGAGGAAGGGAGTCCATAGACTGCATGTTTCCAGAATAATTTAATGATTTCTGGAAATACTGGTTTTTATTCAATAGGTGGCACTCTTCACTGTATGTCAGAAGAGGAATGCCTAGGCATGGTTCTAGGGGATATTTTGACTGGTAATAAAGTTGTCATTTCTGCTTTATAAAATGCAGGTTCTGAGAGATTTACCTCTCACTTGTGGAAAGAGTCCATGTGTGCAGCTTTTCACATTGTTATTTTTCTTTTTTTAAATTTTGCATTTAAAATCCATGTTTTTAAAATTCACATTGCATTTCAATTTCTCCTTTACTCTTTCCTAAACCCCTGTAATTTGCTATGTAAAATTATAAACAAATTCTCTGCTCTGAGTAGAGGAGGTGATATGCCACCAGTTAGGAGTGTTATTTCTGAATGCATGGTTATACTTGATAGTTGTAAAATACAGTATTTTACAGAGTATCTGAGAGAACTTACATTAAAATGTATTTTGAAAAGTCCCTTAGACAAAATATTTTTGGTTTTCCCTTCCTAGATGGAAATTATGAATAGTTTATCTAATTTATCTAAACAGAATTTAGCTCTGTGTGTTAGGACTTTGCTTGCAGTAGATATAAAGGTAAATCTATTAGCTTTTTTTGGTGTGTATGGTAGAATGCTGTATTTTTTCACTACTGTAAAATGGATTTTTAAAATTTATTTGTATAATGGTAATGACTTTCTCTTCAAGGGGAATTAATCATATTTCTGGAGGAGGCAATTTGGTAGGTGCTGGCTTCTGAAATGATAACATTTATGGATTCCTCCACTACACTTAAACTCATATATGCTGTAAGACTTTATGGTCTCAGCTAAGTCTGGGAGTAAACTCACAAAACAAAGCCAGAAGATAAAACTTTAATCTAATTTACATTTGATATAAACACAAAGAATCTACTAAATATTACACTTGAATTAGTGAAACTAAAGGCTTTGGAATCTGAGTTCCTCCTTTACTTTTAAAAAAATTGTACCTAGTGAATTAATATACCAAAGAATGCATTGTTGAAATGCATTGTGAAATTTCAATCCAACTGAAATTTATCTGTACCATGGTATCTGGGCCCTTGCTGAATTTCTTTTAGGTTTCAGCTTGACCTTAGTTCACTTGTTCTTCATTTGAAACCATGTCTGACTCTCTCCGCATTCTTTCATCTTTCAGTTTCCTGGAAACCACTGAGCTTATCTTTGTTTTGTGGATTGCATTGTTAACTGCTGCTTCAAAAAAATACCCAGTTCAGCTGCCAAATGCGTGTTGCTGAGCATTAATGAAAAGAATTTTATATAGAAAGAATAATAAATGTAGTTATTTTTCAATTGTGGCTTTGTCTGCTTGGCCATTTGTGATAATCCAGTGGCATGTTTGATGATGTGTTGAATTTCTTCATGGCAGACAGTAGAATTAAATGCACATCAAAGCAAGCTATTATGTAAGATAGCTTCACCTTTGCTGCCTATAATTGTGTGGATTTCTAATGTATTACACTGGAAGCTGATTAATTCCTGCCATTAGTCTACCTACACATTTCTTTTTGGATTTTGGTTAAATATATGAAATCAGAAATACTTTGAATGCATATTGAATATATATGCATGTAATAGTGTGTATGCACACACATAAGTATAGATGCTAATTACCTACTTGGCACTGATACTGATACCTACTTGAAAAAAAGGTGCGCTCTTACTTCTAGTAGGTACTTCTAAAGCAGAAGCTAGATATAGTTACTGAAGTCTTAAATTTAAATTTATCAGATGTCTGTACACCTCTAGGAATCATTTTTTTCCCAAGTACGTGCAATCTCATGGCCAAATGCATTGTTTGATTGCTAATAATTAAGGGGTTTTTTTAATGCAAAAAAATTAGGAAAATATACGTTTGGTTATTGGAATAGCTAAAATTTGCAGAAAGGTTTGCAACTGGGGAGGATGATGAAGAACAAAAATAATAAATGTGATAATGCTTTCAGGAGCTTTGATTACCTCTAGGAGCTTACTCCAAAAAGCATGATTCTTATCATTTTGATGCAAAATAAAGTATATCTGTGGGAAAATCTCAGGATAAAATTAATTATTGCTTGGTCCTGGAGAAGGTCTTGCATCATTTACATCATTTACTGTTCATCAGGGTGATGATGGGGTTTGTTACACATACTCTTGTTCTAGTTTTAGCCCTGGTACTGAAAGAATTCAGTGTACCTGATCCTGAGTCTGTATTAGGCAGCTTCCAGAAAAGAAGAATAATTTCTTCCTGACCATGGTCATAGTTCCTTTCTTTCCTTCTAAAGGGAAGAAGAGAGTAACATAAAGACCTACCACCTATCTGGAAAGTAATTTGTCAACCAGACAATACTGTAATATGTTATTGTATCACAGTCTCTTCAGAAATTAACAGCTAACACTTTTGATCACAGAAACCCATCCATATTTTAACTATTCTGTGCATAGTCATTGTAGATTATAGCAGATAAATAGCAAATGTCTTTATATTAATTTGTATGGTATCATGTGGTGTCTGGTTTCTAAATAAGCATGTTTTTGTCCATAAAAGTAGAAATTGCTTCATAGAACATTTTCATAAGACATTGCACCAAATAAAAGGAAAAAGGACACTATCTAAATAAAGTTGAGATATGCCACTCTCTATGTTATTTCTTCAAAAAGTATCAACCAGGTACTAAAGTTGCTTGTCAAGCTGTTGTCGAGCTTCAAGTGAGTCTTGTTTATTCAGGTTTTACAAGACTTCATTCTAATTATGTGATTGTACAGAGTTGGTTCAGAGTGAAATGTGGTAGCATTTCCACCTGGGAAAATATCAGTGTGAAAATCTTATTTTCTTCATTTAACAGCTACTACACACTAGAAGAGAGCAATAAAATTAAACTTAATAGTAGATTGACAAAATGTAAACATTTCACTTATGATTAAAATAAATTTACTGTATATTGATTGTTTTCCACTGTACTGTAGATAAGAATACAGGGGATAAGTGAAGCTGCTTAAAGGATTTGTAAAAAATATTTTAAAACTACATGTTGCATTAAGATTCAATAAAACTAAATAATTTTTGTACACATTTTGAATTTTAAAAACT